CAGACCCCTCGCCGGACTCGCCGCCTGCAGACCCCTCGTCGGACTCGCCACCTGCAGACTCCTTGCTGGACTTGCCGCCTGCAGACTCCGGCTCTGACCCCGCAGCAGCAGAACCCAGCTCTGACCCCACAGCTGCAGAACCCGGCTTTGACCCTGCAGCTGCAGAACCCGGCTCTGACCCCGCAGCTGTAGAACACAGCTCTGACCCTGCAGCTGCAGAACCCGGCTCTGACCCCGCAGTTGCAGAACCCGGCTCTGACCCCGCAGCTGCAGAATCCGGCTGTGACTCATCGTCTGCAGAACCCGGCTGCGACTCATCGACTGCAGAACCCGCCTTCGTCTTATCGACTGCAGAACCCGCCTTCGTCTCATCGGCTGCAGAACGCGCCTTCATCTCATCGGCTGTAGAACCTGCCTTCGTCTCATCGGCTGCAGAACCCGCCTTCGACTCATCGGCTGCAGAACCCGCCTTCGTCTCATCGACTGCAGAACCCGCCTTCATCTTATCGACTGCAGAACCCGCCTTCGTCTCATCGGCTGCAGAACCCGCCTTCGTCCCATTGGCTGCAGAACCCACCTTTGACTCATCGGCTGTAGAACCCGCATTCGACTCATTGGCTGCAGAACCCGGCTTGGACTCATTGACTGCAGAACCCGCATTCGACTCTTCATCTGCAGAACCCGCCTTCGACTCTTCGGCTGCAGAACCCGCCTTCGACTCATCGGCTACAGAACCCGCCTTCGACTCTTCGTCTGTAGAACCCGCCTTCGACTCTTCGGCTGCAGAGCCCGTCTCTGACCCATCACTGCAGAGCCCGTCTCTGACCCATCGCCTGCAGAGCACGTCTCTGATCCATCGCCTGCAGAGCCTGTCTCTGACCTCACGGCTGCTGAACCCTCGTCCGACCTCCCGGCTGCTGAACCCAGGTCTGGTCCAGCAGCTTCTGAACCCCGTCCTGACCCAACAGCTGCTGAACCCTGTCCTGACCCAACAGCTGCCAACGTCCCATCTGCCCCAGCAGCAGCCAGCACCACCATCTCTGGCCCAGCAGCAGCCAGCACCACCATCTCTGGCCCCATTCCATCCTTCCCCGAACTCTGGTCCCGCTCTGGACGGTCCCTGGGCCGTCCGCCCGAACTCTGGTCCTGCTCTGGACGGTCCCCGGGCTGTCCGCCCAAACTCTGGTCCTGCTCTGGATGGTCCCCGGGCCATCCGCCCAAACTCCGGCTTGCTAGGAACGATGCCCAGGGCCTTTCATAGAAATACCAGTGTTTATTTTTGCTCCCAGGTCTACCGCCGGTTTTTGTTTAGATTTTCTTTAAGTGCCCTCCATCCTTGTTTCCCCCATCCTCCCACCCATTCTGTGTTTTCTGTGTTGTGTTCTAGGGGACGTCAAGAGCCGTCCCTTGAGAGGGGGGTTATGACAGGCTCTGTCCCTGTCTGTTTTCTTTATATTTATTTGTGTTCCCCGCTCTGCTCTTTGTACTTTTGTTGTTCTGCTCTTTGTGTGATTTCTGTTCCTATATATCTGATTCTGTTGTTATTTCCCACTCACTCCTCAGTCTGCCTCTCCAGTCCTCAGTCTTTATCATTCACACCTGTCCCTCATCAGCCACCTGCCCAGGTGCTCTCATTACTCACTCTGCCTCTGTCTTATAAAAAGCCTTTCTCTCCTCC